TGTCCATAGCGTTCCTCGACAGTGACGTTGCTAAGTTCTACTTGGTCCCCAATGTAATTTCCCATTGGGAATCTGCTAGCACTAAGTTGCTAACTGGTTAGCAAGATTGCTTCTGAGAAACCGGCCACAAACAAAAAGGCTTGCGAATCTTCCGCCACAGCAATCCCGCCCCCTTGATAAAGGACCAATCACATTCACTTTATTCACTCGTGTAAATTTAGGCACCATTCGAGAGAATTCAGAACTGCAACGGTTCAAACAGCCGCTTCCCTACGACTTTAGATCAGTCCACAAGGAAAAAAACTGCATCATTGCATCTGCAACTTTTTAGAGACTTTGAAATCCTCAGGTTGACTCATCAGCTGATAAGATATGAAAATATGGGATAAGTGGGAAATAATTTCACTTACTGTTAACAAAGTGACATTTTAGAATTTGATATAGAAATCCAGCATTCATTTGAAATGACAACATTTCAGTTTAGCTTTGATTACAAATGAAAATATGTGATAATCTAATCCATATAGCTCCCTGTAAAACTATGTAGTTCATTATTAAATAACACCAAGCTTCATTGCATCATGTAGACAGGATGTTTGTGTTGGATGTTTGCGAGGCGCTGTGTGTTTGAGGCTGATGTTTCCCTCTGGGATTTAATCTGGAGCAGAAGGAAGATGTAGAGCATAAACTGCTCCATGTTATAAACAGATCCACCGCTCTGATTCCCTTTCAGAAACCTCTTTCCCTATTTGTGTTTAATGGAAAGTGGCAGCACTTAACATTTTAGAGGAATCTTATCTCCATGGTGCATAAAGACCTCCTTAGTAACTAGAGTTAGTGTAAAAAATGGTGCTAAATAAAGAAAGAAAAAAAACAATCGCTGTGAATTCTTATTCTTGGAATGAGAATTCCCAACTCTGAGAGTTAGGAGTAATTGTTTTTGCCACTGAGTTGAAAGTTAAATCCCTCATGGTGTTTTTGAAGTGAGATAGGAGTTAGTCATTACTGCCTGCAGAGTTTTAGCTCCATTAACCGGGTTCCCCTTCCTACTGCAGGCCTATTGAGTCATGATGCTGATGCTGATGACACACCGAAGAAAGCCTACAACCCGCCAAACTGGTTCGGAGGGGATGAGTCAAAGAGGTAAGACCTCCATCCAGACGTCAAACACGATGAAGCGTCACGAAACCGATTTAAGGGAAAACATTTTTAAAGCTTCAGTCCATAGTAGAACTCGTACCTGAACAAGTTTGGTTTTGACATCCAAGATCAAATGTTCCTAAATGCTCCAGGATGGCTCTGTCTGTTGGCAGTGTCGCGGCTGCAGGCGACATGTTCCCAGAAAATCTCACATGGATTGTCACCGTGGTTTTGTGCTTTCAGCGGCAGTAAAGCAACGTCTCCTGACAGCCAGATGAGAGCGGGCATGCAGCCCCTGGCTGCTCCGTTTGGCACTGATAACAATTCCTCCTGGGAGAAAGAGACTGATAGGTTTAAAGAGAAGGTGAATTAACCAAACTAGTCACTCCCCAACATTCATGCCATGCAGACGCCACCCCATCTGTTACCTCATCATTATTTCAGTTATGATCTTTCCTTCATTTCCCAACCTCATTTTTCCATTTGGAAATTGGTTGAAAATTTCATTTTCTGAAGGTACTTTGTTGAGTTTTTTTTTTTTTTTTTGGGAACACTGAGTGGAAATACTTGCTCAGTGCATTTATGTCTAATAATCAGGCTGTTTTGTTGCAACTAATCTGGGTAATCTGGAAACTCAAGGAAATGCAAGATTATTCATAACCGGTCGGATTTCTTTAGCACATTTTTTGACAAAGAAGCCACAAACTGATATGTGACATTATTATAACCTGAATAATCATATTAAAATATATATATATATATATTTAAAAAATGTGTCATTTGGTAATTAAAATCAAAATTAATTCATTATTTTAGTTTAAGCTGGGTGAACTTAAAGAGATACCCCCTTTGTCTCCTTTCTTTGAATCTTTGAGCAGAATTAGTTACTTACATATTTTTGTTTTTTTTTCTTTCTTTATTAGCAGGCCAGTCAAAGACACCTAAAAGGACTTGATGTTGTCCACAATTGTGATCTGGTCGACGAAATACATTTTAGTTTGTGGTTTTAAACTTGATGAAATGTAAACAGGTTCTAAAGCCCTTGTCACACCTTGACAATTTAGCCAGTTTATGCCTAACGTACGAGAAATCTGCCTAAAACGCTGGCATATGTTGGATAAGTTATGGGTA